GGGTCTAAAAGAGAATTTGAAACAAACTGATAAAACTGGCTGAAAAAAGCACATTAAAACGAACAGGAAATTTAAAAAGAGATCACTAGGTGTTACTAAAGAAAAAAAGAAGGTAAAAGTCTGCATATGAGCCAAGTGGCCCATCAGGCCGGAGCTTATCCTGGTTTCTGTAGCCTGAAGCGACTAGGAGTATTTCTACTCCCCCCTGGATGGAATGCTAGTCCGTCGCAGGGCTACCCCTAACATAAACTTCGCCTGCACCCATTTATACACATTGGTGGAGAGGGGCACTGTGAGAGCAAAGTGTCTTCCCCAAGACTGAAAACACATTATGTCCCTGGCCAGGGCTTGAACTTGGACCACTCAATCCAGAGACGAGCTCACTAAACTTGAGGCCACTGCGTGTTACTAAGGTGTTACTAGGTAGGTAGTAGTTGTGCGGTTCAAATTAATGACAATCATGCAGCTCTTTTAATGGCAGTTTGGAGAATCTGGTGTTATGTCAAGACAGTATCATTTAGTTGATGATTTTCTTCATTCTTGTCACGTCTGTGTTTGATAACGTATAATTTGGTCTTGTCATGAGAAATAAGATTTTGATCACTCCTAGGATTTTAAGGGTCTAGGAGGACACATCTCAAAAACTTAAGCCTACATTTTTCACGACAATGCGTCTATAGGAAATCTTTCCACATCAAAGTCATCTTCAGCTTGTTTTTTCCTCAGTTTACTAATAAAACTGTTTGAGGTCTGTATTGGCAAAATATTGGTTGGGTTCTTTTTTCAAGTTTATGGATCTCACCGGGTTTCAAAACTTTCAAACCAAAAACAAGTTTAACACACAACAGATACCCAGCAGGTGGCAGATCTAGGGAGGGGGCATCCCTTTTGGCTCAAAAAGGTAATGCCTAAAGGGCCAAAATGCTTTTCAATCACCCCTCACCTTAGAGTACCTAATTGAAATGAAATTGTTTTGAAATTTTTCAAGTTTGGGCTTTGGACAAGCACACAGTAATTTTTTTTCCTGCTTCAAAGTTGGCCAATTTGAGAAAAAAATGTGCGACATTCT